TTGGAGATGCCTCTGGCGTAGAACTAATCAAAAGAAGAAACAAGAGAGAATTTTAATGAAAATATAATGGAATTACAGCACTAAAAATGAACACTTTCAGGAACTAAAAAACAACAACATGATTTAATTATAAATTCAATATCTAACAGAAAAAGAGAATGATTGCCCTTGAGAAGCATATTAGTGACAGATACCATGAGAAAAAAGACAAGTTGCATGGAAGTCAGATCCAGCAGATTAAAGGAGAAAGGAACATGTGGGAGGTAATCCTATCTAATAAAATAGTAATATGCAAATTAACCATCACTCTGCCACACCCACAAGCCATGCCCATCGGCAACACCCACGAGCCAATCAGAGAAAGTATGCAAATTAACCCCAACCAAGATGGCTGTGGCCACGGAGCAAGCAGGAGGAAGGCTTGGGTTTCCCTGGCGATGGAGGAAGCCAAGCTTTCCACACACCCTGGTGGGCCCTGGCCTCCACTCAAGGCTACAAAGTTTCAATTATAGAAGATAAATAAATTCCAACAGAAATGGTGGTAGCCATGGAGCAAGCAGGAGGCTTGGCTCTGCTCCAAGCTACAAAGTTTCAATTATAGAAGACAAATAAACCTCAGATACTAGGGTCTCCACTTGGGTCGCCAGGGGGCATGGCCAGCCTGCAAACCACCACAGGCCCCTCGCCCAGGTTGCCCCATGCTCCAAGGGAACCCCCACCCTGATCTGCAACACCGTTTAGGGCAAACCAGCTGGCACCCACCCATGCACCAGGTCACTATCCTATCTAATAAAAGAGTAATATGCAGATTGACCATCACTCCAACACGCAAGATGGCTGCCCCCCTGTGGTAAAAGAACCTCCCCCGATATGGACACAAGATGGCCACCACAAGATGGCCAGCAGAGAGGAAAATTGAGAGGAATCAGGCCTGCAAGGGAGGGCAGTTGTGGGCAATCAGGACAGCAGGGGAGGGCAGTTAGGGGTGACCAGACAGCAGAGGAGGAAAGTTGGAGGTGACCAGGCATGCAGGGAAGGGCAGTTGGGGGGATCAAGACCTGCAGGGAAGAGCAGTTGGGGGGAACTGGCCTGCAGGGGAGGGCAGTTAGAAGTGCCCAGGCCTGCAGGGAGGGCAGTTAGGGCATCAATCAGGCTGGTGGCAGAAGCGGTTAGGGCAATCAGGAAGGCAGGCAGATGAGCAGTTGGGAGCCAGCAGTTTTGGATTGTGAGAGAGATGTCTCAAATTGGAGAGGATGCAGGTTGGACTGAGGGACATGCTCCCCCCCCCCCCCCATGAATTTCATGCACCAGGCCTCTAGTCTATATATATATATATATATATATAAAGAGCCAGGGTCATAATATCCACCATGACCAGAGACTCGACCAAATGCTAGGCAGCGTGTGCAGCAGGTGAGCGAACTGAAATGCTGACCTCTTGGAGAAAGAGAGAGAGAGAGAGAGAGAGAGAGAGAGAGGGAGGGAAAGAGAGAGTGTTGATCAGCAATGGCAGCAGCAACTGATGAGGCTGAAGAAAGAAGCAGGATGATCAGACCCTGCTTCTCTATCCCAGCCTCGGTAGTAGCCAAGCCTCTCCCCCAGAGGTCAGCAGTTCAGCCTGCTTGCAGTTGCTGATCAGCCCTATCTCCATGATCAGGCCCAGAGATAGGCCCGGAGATGCTGACTGACATAGAAACTGACCAATCAGAACTAAATCTGGGTGAACTGTGAAGACCCAATGGTTGCCTAGGAGGTGGGGCTTTTGACTCTGATTGGCATAGAAACCAACTAATCAGAACTAAATCTGGGTGAACTGCGAAGACAGAATCTAAGGTAGGAGCTGAGAAGGGGTTTTAAGGGCAACAGCTATTTGGTGTAAGGTGTAAGAAAGTAATTCAATTTTTTTATGACCGGTTTGGCAGTATAGTGCATATGACTGGTTATCATCCCAGACACAGGGATTATGTGTTTTTGTCTGACAAGAGCATCTTCTCCTGCTGAAAAAGGCTCCCGCCTTCCATTTAAGTAATCCTACCCTCTATAATCTATCTATATTAATGATTTCTACTAATAAATGCTAATTAGACTGGGTTGACTCCTTTCAAACAAAGCCATAGTGGTGGGGGCTGAGGCAGAGGCAGTTAGGGGCGATCAGGCCAGAAGTTGGGGGTGAGATCAGACCAGCAGGGGAGGCCAGTTGAAGGCAACCAGGCCAGCAGGGGAGGGCAATTGGGGATGAGATCAGGTTGACAGGGAAGAGTAGTTAGGGGTGATCAGGAAGGCAGGCAGAGGCAATTAGGGGCTATCAGGCAGGCAGGCAAATAGGTTAGGGGCGATCAGGCAGGTAAGGGGGGGGGGGGCAAGGTAGGGGCAATCAAGACAGCAGGGGGGCATGATAGGGGTGATCAGGCCAGCAGGTAGAAAGGTTAAGGGTGATCAGGCAGGCAGGCAGGCATGCGAGTGGTTAGGAGCCAGTCATCCTGGATTGCGAAAGGGATGTCCGACATACCAATTAAAAAATTGAATCCTGTGGAATCAGGCTTAAACCGTCAGTTAGACATCCTCTGAGGGGGTCCCAGATTGGAGAGGATGCAGGCCGGGCTGAGCAACCCACCTCTGTGGATGAATTTCGTGCACCAGGCCTTTAGTCTATAATAATAAAAAGGTAATATGCTAATTAAACTAGATGTCATTCCGGATGTCCTTCCTGACAAAGCTGGAGCTACAGAGAAGCCAGCCTGGTCCCAGGTGCAGGTCTGCAGCACTAGGGAAGCCAGTACAGGAGGAAAGCCAGTGCTGGCAGCTGGGGGAAGGAAGGCCTACTCTTGCATGAATTTTTATGCATCAGGCCTCTAGTAATCACATAAACAATAGAAGAACACTTTTAGGACTTAAGAAAGTCATGAGGTGTTAACTATCAAGGATGAAGAGAAAATCCTGCCAGCCAATAGCGGGAAACTGGAAGCAAAGTTTGCTTAGGGACACCAGGCACTGATTTGGGGCCTCCCCAATGTCTGCCTAACACTTCACATGGAAATATTAAGCACAGACATTGCTGAAGTTCTTCTAGGGTCTGGAAGTTGTCATCCGTGTCGCTAGTGGCTGAGTACCAGCTTTAGGGACTTTGCAGTAGTCTTTTTCCTTCTAGCCTAAAACATTGTAAGTGCCAATTTTTAAATGCCATATGCACATATTACTTTGATACAAATTAAAAATATAAGAAAGACTGTATTCATAGGTGAAGTAAATTCATGACTGTTGGGCAAAAACATTACCTTTATTTACGAAATATATACCAACTGTGTGTCTTTTGACAAGTTTACTTAACCTTTTTATGTTTGGGTTTCCTGAAGAGTAAATGGAAAAAAGTTAATAGCACTCATCTCAATCAGGCATAAAGATTAAATGTACCACACCTAGAACTTTGGCACATATAAGTACTCCATAAATAAGAGCAACGTTGCTGACGGGTGGCTGCTCTCCCATTGTTCCCAACAGAGAAAAAGCACTATACCCAGAACTTTAATTTTAGAATCAGAAGACTTGAGTTCACATGTGGCCTTTAAAATGTAAAAGTTTTATACCACAACCATGGTAGTAACCCCTCTAGGCTTATATTTTTTCATACCTAAAACAGGAATATGAACAACTCTTCTGCTCAACATCTATCCATCTAGCTATCCACAAATGTTAACTGAGTACCTACTATATTCCAAATATTGTGTAATGGCTGAAACAGAACTATGAATAAGATAGACTTCTACCCTAAGGAGCTCACAGTCTAGTGAACAAAACTCAAGAACCTTAGATCCTTTCACCTGAGTGTTTCTTAAGGCTCACTTTGCCTTAGGAGATGAAAAAAGCACAAAGGTCAAGCATGTGTTTTAGTACATGTACTATGATTTTTTTTTTTCTTTTTTAAAAGCAACACTAACATTGTCAGCAAAGGTTGGGAAATAAAAGTACTCTATTTTGTTATTTTAAGAAAGATACTATGAAGCAGTTGGGTCATTGGGAAATAATAAGCCCCTGCAGATGAGATGGCATTCTTAGGAGTGAGGGGACCGGAGAAAAGCAGGCCCCCATTTCTGATGGGAGAAGATAAAACATCTTGGGGAGATTGAGCTTTGTTCAGAGGCTAGACTGCGTAGTACTTAGAATAATCTTTTGAGACTCGAGTGCCCTTTGAATAAACAGCTCCACTGTTTGAGAGGAATCACTATTATGTGATCCCTTCCCAACTACATCCATCCCCTTTTAGAGCATCCTGCCTTGGCATTTGTGGGAAGCAAGTTCTTGGTATCTCTATGTCATCTCAAAAATAAAGACCTTATCCTAAAGCTTTTTATGAAGGTGCTTATTTTGATCAACTCATGTGAGTTGGCCCTGGGACAACATTTTCAAATGTCAGCTTGCATTTAATAGCTATGACTTAAAATTGTATATTTAAATCTCACAAATTATAATGGTAACTTAGCATATACCTGAGGCAATATTAAGTACATCAAGACATGAGGTATCTTTAAAAAGAATGTAACTATACATTATTAAAAATTCATATTCAGAGTATTTTCCTTTATTATATTAAAACATTTTTAGCTACACAATGTAAAACAATGATCTACATTATTTAAAATCATGTATTTAGCTCATAATTAACAGAGATTTCTTACAAATTCACTTGGATGGTGACTACAGACACACAAAGAATGATTCTGGCTTCTTTTGTGTATGTATAAAAATATTTGAAAAATCAATATAACTTAACTAGAAATTAAACCAGAGCTAAGTAAAAATTGTCCAGCAAAAAAAAAAAAAAATGCTAACATCTTGTTTAAGTTTCAATTGGATAATAAAATTTTTTTTAAATCTTTACATAAAAATTCTAATACCACCACCCACAAATCATAAAGTATAACAACAAATAGTGTATTTTTTACTTAATCACTTTTTTGATTCACAATAAAAACCTGTTACTTATAGGAAATCAATTCAACAATTTATCCAAACATTGTTACATAAGAAGTTTTAAGAAACTGTAAATAATTCTTAATACTCTCATTTTGATTCTCCGACTTTTCAAGACTATGTTGTATTTCTTTCAAACATACTTCCTGATGTTGTATTTTCTAAAGAAAAAAGAAATAATCAATAATGACATTCATACCAAAGGATAGTCATAATATAACATTTATATATATATATATATATATATATATATATATATATATATATATATATACATATATATATATGAAATAATTGGCTACATTAATTTTAATTTTTTAAAGACTCCTAACCATCTGATGTGTATGTTAATAAATTATCTTAGAGCTCACTTTTCTTTACAATGCAGAAAAAGTAAATAAATGATATTTACTGTGGTATACTTTTTTTTGTACTACATATTCATTTAGCCCCAAATTATTAGACATTTAACATGATTAACTTAATAAGTGGGTTTTATTTAAAGTTGTCCTAACTTCTCACATCTAACATGACATTTAAATACTAGTTTTTGCCATTTTCTCTACCTAAAAATTCATATTTTATAACATTAAAATGACTTTTGCTGTCTTAAAAATGGACAGAATTCCAGCTTTGATAATATAAACATTTTATTTTTAGAATATTTCATAAATAAAATGAACTCTTAATGTTATATTCTTTATTTAAAGAAAAAATTAAAAACATAATAAAACTTTAAAATAATCAGTTGCATATAAATTTCCAAGATATCATTTAACTCCCAACTAAAATGTAGACACCTTGAGAATAAAAATCTTTTATCTCCCTCTCATCAGGTGTTCAATAACACCTGACATCTTCTGAAACTGAGCAATGCTCAATGTCCCTCAAGTGAAATATTATAGGTGGGATGAAGAAATGTGCTAGTCTAGGCTATACAAAGTTACAGCATTAATATAATATATCTTTGTAGATGTAGAACGTCAATTTTACTCAATAATTTAGAGGAAAATATACTAATACAAACCATATATTGTGAGGCAGAATGCAAAATGTGCATACATTTTAGGATAACACATAAGACTCCAAAGTCATTTCAGGCTGCAGGCAGGTTGGCCTGAGTTAAGCTGCTGAAGACACCCTTAAGTCTGTGCATCCACTCTGCCCCCCACTGGAACACTTGGGCAAAAAATCTATGAAGGCGTGCTACATGGGCAGGGCACTGTGGCAGACACCAGATACAATCAATCATGAGACAGGATCTCTGGGTGTTTATGATTCAATTGGAGGTAAGGTATGCACACAAAAATACTGAAAGGGACAGAATACATAAACTCCTTTTTTAGCAATGTCTAAATCTATGCTTAGAAATCTAGATTTTTACTATTGCAAAATTTTTCAGGTTTGATAGAGTATCAAATGTTAAATCTATTTATTTTGGCAGCTTTAGCAAAGTATTGGGAGCATTAAAGCAAAACCCATCTCATCTTAATATACTTATTTTTTCAGAAGCTTTACTATACGAAGGACATGACATATTTACAATATCAGCAATTCTGATGGTGGGTTAAAAAAAATTAGAAATAAAGGGAAGGCCGATGCTAAATTCAAAGTGAAAAATGCTTAAAACTGCTATGGAATTTTTTATGGCAATATAATTAAACTAATATTGCATGCCAAAAAGTCATTTAACTTTTTAACCTTTCAGGTTTTCAACTTTTTAGATGGTTGGGAATGAAAAATTAGTTTTCATGGAGTCTCCAGCTCCTGGGAAAAATTAAGCGTCATTATTTTATATGTCATTTTTAAGTAGACAGTTTTTAAGTAATTTAGTCATGGCTAGTGCTAGCTCTCGTAATATCTTCTGCCAGTTGGCTATTTCAGGAATATTTAGGAAAAAACATTAGAAGATTAATTAAACACAGACAACTTAGTAATCTCATTTCACAGCTGAGTGCACCAAAGCAGCCATCTCCTATGCAAATATAACAATAGTAATTATTTATTTAATGCCAACTTATAAACTTTATAAGATAGAATATTCATTATTCAAGACAAATATCAAAATATAACTCATAATAATTGTTTAAATTGTGAAATGAAATGAAAAATTCGTAACAGAAAGAAAGTAGAATATCTGTAACTTTCATTAAGCAGCTGTCATGCTAAAATAATGTGTACAGAAAGGGTCCAATGAAACTTCGGGAAAAAAGGTAACAGAAGCTACTGAGGATGAGGATAATAATTCTTTGGCATAACTCTGACATTTTTAATTTGTGTGATTTATATTACTTGTTATTTGTAATAGTATCAATAAAGAAATGGCCCTCATTTCACTCACTTTATACTTTAACTGTTTAAGTAAACTAACTTGGTAAGAATGTTAAATGCTAATTTATTTTTTATGAAAGTACATAAGCTATACTAATACTTACAGTGTTTATTTTGCAAACAAGTTGATTTTGTTCTTCATTTTTCTTTCTAAGTTCGGTTTCCAGATCTAATATTTTAATTTGTAAAGCCTTCTCTCGAGATGACATTTTCTCTATTTCTTCAGAAACCTGTAATTTTCAAAAAGTAACTAAATGTACTTTCTTTGAAGTATAAAGCCCTGACATAGTTAAAGTATACCTCTTTTTTCCAAGTATATTATTAATTGGATGCTAGACAATTTAATTAGAAAGTGTTTAAAGTTGTTGTATGTTAAGGAAACACATGTAGTATAGTATCTGAAAAATGGCTTAAGATACAAGAGTATATATGCATTTGCACTATTCTGTAACTTCAATAGGTTTTCTCCCCAATACTATATTTTTGTATCTTACTGAGACCAATCTCTGCTGTATAGTATTTATATTCACCATGGTGTCAGGACTGGTGTTGGAATCTAGGAAGTTCTCATTAAATGCTTGGCTGGATAGAATTAGGGGAAGGCAGGTGATATATACACTTCAGACACAAACAAAAGAGATTGAGCTTTCATTCATTCACTTTCCAAGTGGTCTGAATTGAGTTCTCACATTTCTCTGACTGCTTATTTGGTAGAAAGTCTCATTTAGCTATGTTCTTCCAAGGACTCAGATATCTGGGAGCCTATTTACAAAAAGGTAGGGCTGGAGCCACAATAATGAGAGTGGAGGCAGGGACTACTTAAGGAGCAAGGAACAATGGGAAGAACTATCCTCTAATCTAATTCCTATGGACTAAGTTCTAAGTTATTGTAAAGTGATCTACCAACATGTCTTGTGCACAAATTCTGAGGGCAATTGTAACTGAGGCATGCTGGCAGTTATGAGAGAAAGCTGTGGGAGAAAGAGCCCTCAGAACGAATATCCATGTCCATGACCATGTGCTGCAGTGTGGACAATGGTGACAGTGCAGGGACAGCATGCCTCATGAAGCAGGAACTGGAGACAGCCCCACAGTCCACTGCAGTGCGGGGAAAGGAAGGGGCACACACATCTCTGGGGACTCTGAACATTATGAGCAGGAATATGAGGTCATCTAGTATTTTCAAAGTCCACTTAGGCTGAACACAAGATAAAGTCACTTCTTGTTTTCCTCCTACAGGTTGGTGGCGCTAAGAAACCTGGCTTATAATTCTATCAATGGCAATACAATTTATTCTTTAGCTTTTATTCAACGGTGTATCCTTCAATATCCATTTAAATTGGTTTCCCACAGTTAAAAAAAAAAACAAAGTATATGATACTTGTGATATAAGAGCCACATATCAAGGATATTGGATTTTACCTGACTCGTGTGGAACTGACATTAACATACTTTGGAAAGACCATGGGTATAAGAGAGATTAGAGGGAATGATTCAGAATCTGGTGTTGGACAGGTTAAGTTTGAGATGCCTCTGTTAAGTGGAGATATCAAATAAGTACTAGAATATCTAAGTCTAGATTTCAGGAGAAAAAGAAGTCTGAAGTAGAGAGAGGTATCTGAGAATCATCAAGGTGTAGATGATTTCTTTTTAGCATCATGCAATCCTATGAGGAAACTCATGACCCCCATTTTATCAATTAAGAAATTAGAGTTTAGGGAAGCAACTTGTCCTGGGTCAGGGTATAATGTACCAGAGGCAGAATTAAAATATGATGGATACCAGAGCCCACCACATGTTTTTTCAAGTCATTTCATAAATTTTCCTCTTTTTTGAGATCTTTCTGAATCATTTCTCCTCACCCCTTGAACTACCTTGTACCCGCCCCCTCTACTGTAGCACCTATATGCTGGATGGCATATTTGTTCACCTGTCATCTCCCTCCTGGACTCTGAGTGTCCTGAGAGCTGAAGCCAGGAATTATTCATCTTTGCATCTCAGGAATAGTAGAGACACACAGTGAGATATTTATTAAATGCTAACCAAATGAATTTAACTAGAATTTATAATACTTGTTGCAGGTATTTATATATGCAACAATGTTTGCCCAAAGAAAAGGGAATTGAGCTTTGCAGCTCACAAGATCCTGATCAAAAACAAAATGTTCAATAATTTGCACATTTGCTTTGGTTTTGTTTGTTTTTTTAATCGGAGGGTAAAGGTGAGAGGAGGAGAATACTCCTTCAAAGTGTTTTCCATCTCTGCCCTTTACCCTGCCACATCCTCATTATCTGGTAAAGAAATTCTGGTCCAGTAAGATATCTGTTTAGCTCCAAAAAGCAAAAGTAGGTAAAAAAAAAAAAAAACACCAAAAATGTACTTGGTCTCTTCACCCTGTCATCAGGATAAAAACAATAACTAGCTGTAGGTTTGGCAAGATGAAATATTGTCTGTTGAAAGAGGACTCTTTGGTAAACTAATTAAAAAGTTTCTAAATACAGGCCATCTGTACCTTTTGTTTTCCTTCTTCTAAAGCAGCTTCCAGCTGTCTAGCCAATGCTGTATATTCTGCAGACTTCTCTTTAAACTTAAGATTGCTATGCTTAAGACATTCTTCTTGGTTTTCCAGCTTCTTTTCAAGCTCTTTATTTTCTGCATCCATTTGTTCTAATTTTCTTTTTAAAGAAAACATATATTTTAAAATCAAAGTGTATAGGGGAAAATGTAACACCAATTATGAGTCATTTTAGTACTTACTCTTTAAGGTTTTCACACTTCAACTGAATAAGATAATTTTCGTCTTCCAGAGAAAGCTCTGTCAGAAGATTGTGATTTCCATCAAACTAAAAGAGAAAAAATTTTTCTTGGTTATTTTCTTTATAATCAATTTCTAAAGAAATGTGCAATTTTTATTGTTAGAAAAATCATTTTAAAAGTATAAATATTATTATTACTCCTACACAGAGAGACACTAAGAAATATTACATTGGTTAAGTTTTTAAAAACTATGCTGCCTTATGAAAAATCATTTAATACAAATTTTTTGAAAGATAGCTATTAAAACATTCTGGAAAATGTTTCATTGCAAAAGGTCATTTATTTTATTAAGTCAGTGTGAAGAATTTAAAAACTGTAGAATAGTAAGGGTTACTCTTATAGATTTTGTTTCACTTAAATAGTGATTGATAATTGAATATCTGTGAAGGAAGTTTGAATAAAAACCATATTTGTGAAAGGAGATTAAATTAACAAGGAAATCAATGAAAATACACTTGCCTACACCAAGACAGAATGTTCTTCCCAATGCTTAAGAATTAGAGAACATCATGCTGAGTGAAATAAGCGTCAATGAAAGAAAAATACCACATGATCTCACTCATTAATGGATATTAAAGAACATTATAAACTGATGAACCAAAAGACAGATATAAAGACAGTAAAGCAACAAGCAGACTGTCAAATTACAGCGGGGAGGGTAGGGAGATCTGGGGGAGATAAGAGATCAACTGAAGGACTTGTATACATGCATATAAGTACAACTAATGGACACAAAACTCTGGGGAGGAAGGGTATGTACGAGAGGGGAGGGCAATGTTAAAATATGTACACAGATAATTTAATTAAAAAAAGAAAGCTGTATTTAAATTGTTTCAGCAGCTTTGAAATAAATTTTAAAAATTTCATAATTTCAATTAGAAATTTAGGGTATCTATGTAATGTGACATTTTCTTAGAAATCTCTTATCAGGAATTTAAATTGAGCAACATTTTGTTTGCATGTTGTTTAAAAAAACAGGATGCATTTCAAAATTAAAATCCAAACTACATTTGGAAGATAGGGAATCATTCCTAAAATTGTTCTGCAAATATGAAAAAACACTAACATCCTTGGACATGCTTCTTTGAAAAAAAAGTACTTAATTAAAAATATATATATTTATTAAGTGCTTGCTATATGTGCTAGGCATTGTCTTAGAAGATGGCTATGTGGTGCTAACAGGGCATCCTTGATCCCTGCTCTATCGAAGTAAAAAAGTATATGTTAAAAAAAATTAGAAATAATCCAAGTAAACTTGATGCACAATTCTAATTAAAATACACTCTAAACTTTGTGAGGTAAATGACAATAATTAACTTTATCCTGAAATTAAAAAATATATATGTAAACATAGCATTGCTCCTTCTCTTATGCTATTACCATATCCTCAAATATCTAAATACAGATTTATATGAATAAAACAAACAAGCAATTAATTCTGTTTACAAATTTTTTTTACTATAAAATACTAGCAGAATAGCTTGCAAAATAATAGTACTGTATCTGCATAAACTGGTATTTTATCAACTGATATAGGTTGGAGTGAAATAAATCAACCCCTGATATGAGTGCCCTCAACTGGTGAAAGCATTCATAAGCATTCTTCAACACAGGTAGCAAAAGTGAGAATGACGCTGGACACCTGGCCCTGAAGCTCCCTAATGGTGTGCGCCTGGCCCGCACACGTCCCCTTGCAGTGCCGCAGACTCTCCTGACACTCCTGCAGCCTCCATTCCGCCGCCTTCAGGGAATCGCTGGTGTGTTCTAACTCCTTCAGATGAGACTCCATCTGGCCTCTCATCTGAGGTGTGGCATTAGGGAAATAAATGTAAGGTCACACAGCATTACTGCTTTTACTATCTTAAACACTAGATATGCTTATAACACAATATGTATTTTGGGAATAATGATTTTAAACAAAAAGATTCCAACATATAAATGTGAATTAACATTAAGTTAGATTCTGCTAAGTAAGAACATATAACTCAAAAGTGGGTTATACTTTAGTTTTCAAAAAGTTTGTTGAATAAATGAATATAGCAACATTAGTGTGAGGTAGAATGTTTAACATCCTTAGGAAAAGAAATTTTTGAATCCTGTCATTTATATTCCAGCGTAGATGAGACTGGTAAAGCTGGCATGGTAGTTTTCCAGCCCTCAGTCTAAAAGAACTGTCACTTTTTGTCTTCCCATCTTCTAATTCAGATATTTCAATTAGAGCAGCCTTGCTGCACTCATCTAAATCCAAATTGGTGGGTTTTGCTGTTTATTACTTTAAGATAGCTAATATCATCAGTCCTTAGTAGACTATTTGATCATTAAAGTAAATGAAGTAAATCTCTCTAATTTTATCTATATTAAATCTATGAAGTAAATCTCTCTAATTTTATCTATATTAATCTCTCTGGCTACTGCTGTTACTTATAGTAGCACTTTTGTAGAGTTGTGATAAAGAAGGTGTTAATTAAGAAAAAATAACCATTTAGGATGTTCATAGGGAGGAAAAGCGAGCACCACCTGTTTCCCTGACAGAGCGACCACCCAGAGCTACTATGCAACATCCGCCATTCATAATCACAAAAGATAAAACTAGAACAAAGCACACCTTCCAGACATCTAGGAGCCCATGAGAAAACCAGGAGACTTAAAACAGTGGAAAAATAAAATGAAGAAATTCGCTTAAAAACAAAAAAATTTCTGGTTTAATACAAGTAAGAAACCACTGTGACCTTACAGTATCTGAAAAACTCAGGCTCTTGCTCCATCTGCCTTTTGAACAGGTGTTTTAAATGGGCTTTTATTCACAGTGCTGCCAGCAAAAACAGAAGACAGTTGCATTGGTATGTCTTATGAGAAAAGGAGACCAAGAAATATGAAATGATTTTTTCTCCAGGGTGCTAAAAATAGGAAGATTAATTAATTCTAGGAAAGTGGTAAGCTGCACATTTGGTGGGTTATCTATCTCTGTCTAAAGAGCAGAATGCCTGTGCTGGCTGAATTCTCACACCGATGCCTCATTTGAACTTCTCAGTCCCAAGATATGGAGACAATCCAGAAACAGAGACCGTTTGTTTCTGGATTGGAACTGAATAGTAACATCCCATGACCTCTCCAGCCAGGAGCTAGCGCCCCATGGCTTTCACTGCTGCCTTACAAAAAAAAAAACAAAAAAAAAAACACACAAAAAAAAAAACATGAAAAGACCCAAAAAGGGATGTGGTTTCATTTAAAAATTTAAAAATATTCACAAAAACATCATAACTTGCCAATACTGGCCTTCCTCTAATTCTGTTGCAAAAGGATGAAAAAAAGGAAATGATGTGGGGGTTTTTCTATGATATCATTTTTCTTCCAACAAAGCATTTGGCAGAAAATATTTACTTTGTTTTTTTAGAAACAAAAGATTTACTGTCAGAAAAACAAGGTGAGATTAAAAGTAAGAGGTACTCAAGTTTGCATACTTATGGGAGGTAAAGCTCAGTGGTAACCATTTATTTAGCTATTTAAGTCTGCTCTTGAGTAAAAATAATTAAGTGTTTATGTGATTTTCCAAATATTAAAGAAAAAGTGAAAAAACATTCACACAAACAAATACGATTTCAAGCCTGGAAGAAACATTATTTCCTCAGAAAGTAAACTCCTACAGAGACTGAGAATAGATAATTCCTAGGTCTAAAATAGAGAAAATAACCACAGTGAAAGATATTTGTATAATATTCATAAAATCTAAAACATAAATATTATTTTATTATTTAAATTTTCAAACTTACCTTCTCTAATTTTTTATTTTTGTTTTTTGTTATAAGGTTATTTTCACTTAGCAAATTTTCACATCTGCTTTTCACCATTTCAGCTGCTTCTTGCAATTTTTGTATCTGATAATAGAATATTATTAGAGTAACATCTATTATTTTATTATTAGGGCCATAATATAAAATTAAAAGCCAGACTTTGAATTTTCAATTATAAACAAATAATTATTTCCCTGTTAATACCTCAGTGGGTTTCTCTAATATTACTCTTTCTTTAAATACAGAAATTACTCAGTGATCTCCTCTAATTCACAATCCTTTTATGATTTACCCATCTATTCCCATCAATACATCTAGACTCTTCACTTGAGCTCTGAATATTCATTTGCAGGTCAATGTCACTTTAAAGAATCAATCTCCCTAGAACTGGTTTGGCTCAGTTGGATAGAGCATTGGCCTGCAAACTGAAAGGTCCTAGGTTCGATTCCAGTCAAGGGCATGTACCTTGGTTGTGGGCACATCCCCAGTAGGGGGTGTGCAGGAGGCAACTGGTCAATATTTCTCTCTCATCGATGTTTCTGACTTTCTGTCCCTTTCCCTTCCTCTCTGTAAAAAATCAATTAAAATATATATATATATATAAAAGAATCAGTCTCTGGTTCAAACCAGCTCTCATAGCAATTAATTTGCCCTCCAAATCAAAATCTGCTAAAAAATAAAAATAAAAATAAAAAAATAGCTGACTGAGCACTTTGTACAAGGCCTAGAGCCTAGAATAAGGTAACTCACCCATAATATTCCTACAAAGGAAAAAGGAAGTAAATCCAAACAACCAGTTGGAATGAATTCTTAGTAACATGTGCCACCAACCACCACAGCCTTCATTTTTACCTCTGGCCTGGATGACTAACTGGATATCTCAACTCCATTTTCCCATCTAAGCCATCCATAGGCAGCCCCTTCCTACTTACCTGCACTATGCCCCCTTTAAGCCTTTGCTTTTTATTCATTACTCTTTAATTCAAATGTTCTCTTCCCAAAAACTCAAACTCTTTATTAACCATTGTGTTACCCATCATTCACAGACCTGCATAAATCCCATCTTTCTCATAAAGTTTTTCTTGAATACTACATTTCCCAAACCTAAGATTTTCTATAAGTTACAATTCAGTACATGCTCTACTCCATATATAATGTCATATGTACTTTCCAGGCATTTCATAGGAGTAAGTCTGAATGAAACTTTGTTTATTGCGAAAAATGGAGTCTTGGACTTTAATGACCCTAGAAAGGAGTCATATTCCAAATCAATACCATTAAATATACAAGATGACAAATACTGTACAAATAAATAAGATTAATAAGATTATATATAAGGTTTACATTACATTTATATAATTAATTTTAGATCTACTTTTAAGAATATCCAACACATACATAGACAATGAATATTTGAATCAGGAATCAACAGAGTCATCTATTAATAAAAATATTTGGGACTTTAAGAAACACTTGGGACATGTCATATTCTATCACAAAAAAATAGCTCCACCTTTCTTCAGTTCTATTTATTTAGATCATAAACAAATGCAGTGTTTTATGAATAACTTGCCAACAAACATTAAAGTAATTGCAATGGTCACCTGAGTTTTATACACTTCAATAAGGTTTTTCTGTTGTTTTTCTACTTCTTGCAATTCTGAGAGTTCATTTTCAACGGAAACAACCTCATCCTTCAAAGCAGCAAATGTAGTCTAACAAGAAATATATAAATAGGAATTATAAATTATTAAAATTCATTCATCCTCCAATGCTATATGAATATAAAAACATAACTCATTTATTAACAAAGTTAATAAAATAAATATTTTTATTGAATATAATTACCACCTAAAAGTTCAGAAGTTTAAAAAAGTTAGTAATACTTATAAATAACTTTAAAAGACTGTTGCAAGACAAATTTTTAAAATTTTCAAAATTTACTTACAAAAAAGACTTAGAAAATAGACCAGGTTCCTAGAGGGGAAGACGCATACCAGTTTTTTTTCCAAATCAATAAAACTGTAATGCAATTTCAAACAAAAGTACTAGTATAATAATTTGGGGAAGGTAAATACAAGATTAATTTAAAATTCATATAGAAAAATAAATAGGAAAGACTAATGAAATTTTGAAAGAAATACTAAGTGAAAAATCTCAGTACTTATTAAAATATATAAAGAACTAAAATTAAGATGTTAATATAAGAAATCTAGAGGTTGACTGAACAGAAAAATGCACTAAAATTATATTTACTATACAACAAAAATTAGATTTTAAATCAATGGGGAAAATATGGACCAGTAAATAATGGTAGTAACACAATTGTTTGACTGTTAGAAAAAATAGATTACTTACCTCCACCCAACACTATTTTTTTATATATACTAAAAATGAAAAACAGCACTGGCCAGTATAGCTCAGGTGGTTGGAGCAGTGGGCCGTAAACTGAAAGGACTAGGGTTCCATCTCTGGTCAGGACACATATCCAGGTTGCAGGTTTCTCCAGGTTGCGTCTTGTGCAAGAGGTAATGTATCAATGTTTTGCATATCAACACATTTCTCTCTCTCTTTCTCTCTCTCTCTCACTATCTCTCAAATCAATAAAAACATATCCTCAGGTGAGGATTAAAAACCAAAAAAAAAAAAAAACAACCCAAAGTTATAAAAATTTTCACAAAAAAAAAATGTATTGAATCTGAGGATTGCAAAAACCCACTAAACATAAAATTTTTAAAAAGGTATCAAAAACTGTAAGGATCTGAGATTTTACCCTCCAGGTTAACTTGTGCTATTTTACAAGTGAACCTAGCACAGTTTCATGGATGCCAGCAAAAAGCATGAGATTCCTAGGTTAGAGATATAGGACTTTATTACTCCCAGCAATAGCAATGACACATATCAGCATTCGTGTTAGTTTTCTAAGCCTCAGTTCCCACAGGGCAACATAAAGTAGGCTGGATGACACCTGTGCATATAGTGTAATGCATTACAGAGGAGCAATGCTGAATTTAGGGAACTACCTGTTAACAGGCAGCCATCATGCCTGCCCTCTGGTAGAAGGAAACAATACCATCTTCCAAGCATTTGCAAGCAAGCATTGCTATTTTTCTCTATACAAACTTAATGCTTACTGCAGGATCAAAGACAGCAGCAAAGAGAAGAATTAGGAAGTCAGTATAGCAACCAGATGATGGTGGCTTAAACCAGGATAATGGCAGTGGTGCTGGTAAGAAGTGACCAAATTCAAGGTATATATGAAGTAGATTTACTGACACACTAGAAGCAAATATGAGAGAAAGGAGTCAAGGAGAACACAAAGTAATATAAAGTATGATTGGCATTAACTGAGATGAGGAAAGTGAAGGAGGAATATTTTGAGGAATGCAAGAGGTCTGTTTTGGACATAACTTTGAAACACCTGTTAAACATTCTAGTGGAGATTTCAAGTAGGAAGTAGAATACATGTACAGAATTTAGGGTCAAGGTTTAGGCTAGGGACATAAACCTAAAGCCTTAGGATATAGATGGTATTTAAAGACCCAACACTAGATGAGATCACCTATCAAATCTGGAGAAATTTGTTTTAAAATTGCCTAATATTATCAGAAATATCTGTTTTAACCAAACTCCTGTTTCCAGGCATAATTCTGCACATAAATCTGATCTATACAGAGCAGTAACAAATCCCAAATTTTAATCTGGAATGTATTACTCTCTTTGAAAGGTAACTCTATCACTGGCATTCATTCAAATTATCAAAGGATAAAGTCAGATGAACTTATGTTGAACTTCGAAGGAAATAGTATGTTTTTAAATAGAAAGAAAGAATAATAGACATTATATGTTGAAACGGGGAAATCTCTAGAAGGATAGACATGAAACTGTGAGTAGTGGTTATCTCCCAGGGTGGGACTTAGTACTATCTATGTTTCTGTATTGTAGGAATTTTTACAATGAAGCATGCATTGCTTTTATAATCAGAAAATGTAAGAAAGATATTTCTACTTTGAACAAAACTAAATAAAAGGAACAGTTATGAATGATTTTCAAAAGCAAAAATAAATAAATATATACATGCATAAATACATAAATAAATAAATCAAATTACCTAATACTGGAAAAAGTATAAGGACCCATCATGGCTGATAATTTAAAAAAATAAAACACCAACATTAAAAATGGGCCTCCCTTTGACCACGTAATTCCAATTCTAGGAATTTATCCTAAGAAAATAGATATACTAAAAGACTGAAAGGAACTTTTAAAATTTATATCTTCAAAAAAATGGAAGGAGTCTAAAATCCCAAAAATTATATATATGCTAATATAGTAACTTTAATTATATTTGTTCTGAGGTTACAGGTGATTTTTAAATGTTTTCCTTTTGTGCTTTTCTGTTTTTCCAACTTTCTGTAATAAATAAATAAAAAAAAAAAACTGTATAACCCTCTAAATAAACTTGTGTTCTTTTCAATAAAGGAGTTCACTGAGCTTGGAAGCATTAGAAACTTTAAAATACAAAATTATTCTAAAGGAATTAAAAGTAACAAAACATAGACTTTTAGGCAATTATATATTATAAATAACATATGCCAAACATCCCTGGATTTTTTTCTTAAATAAAATTCCAAGACTAATGCATTAAAAATATATGTTTCTGCATTATTGATAAAATACAGTGAGATATAAACTTCAACTCAATGACTTTATACCTATGTAATATAAAATAGAATTTCCATGTAATTCAAAACTAGATTTATAATTAATGAAATATTCATTTAATCCTTTCTCTCTGAAGGATATCAAGAAAATTGAGAAAATAAACATAATATATAAAATTTCCTGTCCCTGGATGAAACATTTAAAACATTTCTTCAATAAATATTCACTGAGAGGTAAGTATATGCCATACCTTCCCTGGGCATCCTATGGTGACAAAGATAAGAGTTTATAAGGAGAGATTCTTCCTAAATGAGAAAATTTGGAAGTGGGGGAAAGATTTTGAGTGGACCTTCAAAGAAAAGGTTAGATTTAGATCCTGAGAAAAACAGAATTCTAAACTGTAAAGCTAATCTAAACTAATAAAAGGGTAGTATGCTAAATAAACTAGACTTCTTCTGGACATCCTTCCAGACAAAGCCACAGTGGAGGGGGCCGAGGCAGGGGCAGTTAGGGGCAACCAGCCTGGCAAGTGAGGGCAGTTTGGGGTGATCAGGCCAGCAGGAGAGGACAGTTAGGGGAAACCAGGCCTGCAAGTGTTCCACATCCCACATGGTTCAGGGTTCATGTTCAGGGTTCCGGTTCGGGCAATGGAGGAGTCCACATGCAAATGAAAAAGACAAGAAATAATAATTTGGAAATTGGGGGCCAAGGAAGGACTCCACTTGAGCAGGGCCTCTCCATCCTTTTATTCAATTTGGGATCCACCCACAGCCCTTAGGAAGGCAATTTCCAGTAAGGGCAGACTATCTGATCAGTAAGGATTTATTAATACATGACTGTCTGGTGGGGAAGTTGCTTCAGCTACCATTGTCTGAATTAAACAGTGGGTGTATAACAGCCTTCTCAGTTCCTTGACCACACCACTCTGTTAGTGAAGACAATGGGTAACTCCCCCACTCTGCTCCCCCTCCTCTCCTTACCCCGCCTCCCCGCATTGGCCAGCAGGGGAGGGCAGTGAGGGGTGATCAGGCCAGCAGGGGAGGGCAGTGAGGGGTGATCAGGCAGGCAGGCAGAGTGATTAGAGGCCAGCGGTCCTGGTCCTGGATTATGAGAGGATTATCCAAGGGGTCCCAGAATGGAGAGGGTGCAGGCTATGCTGAGGGACTCCCAGCTCTGTGTACGAATTTCATGCACCGGACCTCTAGTAAACTATAGGAAAAGATACAGAAAAACTCGAACAAATTGCAGACTATAATGAGTATTCAAATTTGGCTAGAGCTAAGAAGAACCAGTATAATACATCCCCTAGTTTCCTTTGCAGCTATATGAGACCATATGTCTAAATAAGTAGAAAAGTTGAGTGATATATTACTTGAAACTTGACTACATGGTTGGAACTCCAGTAACGATTTTAACTATGAGGATGAGCTCCACACTTCTGAATGGCAAAATAGTAATACCTAACAGAGACTAGGTTATCTGATGCCATATCAGCTTTGAACTGCCAACACTGGCTTTGTTTTACATAAACATATTCCTTTCTGTTTTCTACTTACTGTCCTCCAAAAATAACATTATGAAATTGAAAATTATACCATCATTTTTAGTCAAGTCTCATCTGGTTACATGAATCTCTGATTGAGAACTCAAATATCCTTTTTCTCAGAAAACATAAAAGCTTCTTCCTCATCTTTTCTCTGGTACACGTACAAACCAATCACCCCTTGGATTTGATTAAGTTGGAAAATTCTTTCTGGTTATGAAGCAGCCAAGAACATACTTTCTGGTTTCAAACAGACCACAGTAGAGGTTTATCATATCGTAACCATGACACCTATAAATAATTTTATGCATTAAAGTTCATGTAATTTTGGATGGTTCACTTAACTGCTAAAATGGGAGAATAAGTAAATTTTTTAGGCTGAGACAAGAGACAGTCATTCAACTTCTTAAATCTTGTTTAATACTGCTAAAACCAATTATAACATGTATCTTTGCATACAACTATAAAACTTAACCCCTATGTACAAATATGTGTATATAAATATATATATTTACAGACATGTAGGTAAATGTAGATTTTTAGAAGTTTCTTATTATAATACACTTTAACACTCTGAGAAACATTAAGGACAAAATGATATAACAGCATTATTCTAAACATACTGTTATTTTAAGTTACTTGTGCTAAGTAGACTAAGTTGTCATTACACAAAACACACATAAACACACAGTACCTTTAATTTTGTATTCTCGAGATTCAGAGTTTCATTTTCATATTCAATTGTTTGAAGTTTTCTAAGAATTTCTTCACACGAATTTTTTCCCTGGTCCTCCATTTTCTTCAGGTCTTCTAAAAGATTACTGATTTGCCTTTATAAGATAAAATATATATTTTATAAAAGTTACTAAAATTTCAAAGAATACATTTTAAGTGTTTCTGAAATTATTTTGGTAGGGTTCATTGTTTCAGAAATTAATAAAAGTCACAGAACAAGGGAAATAGGAAGCATTCATCTATATAAAGTTACTACTAAGTAACCTTGAAAATACCAATGAAAAATTATACAACATTCTCTTTGCTATTCAATAAAACAACTAAACTGCCATCCACAGATATGTCTATCTCTCTCATTTACACACATACAATTTCAGGACAAGATTAAATAAAAGGATCATGTCAGGCAATAACTAATCTTTAGAAGCAAGTTATATATGACACTTTTCAATGATAATACTGAAGAAAATACACAGAAAATAAGACATTTAAAAGCAAATATTCAGGGTTTATTTTCTTACTTTTTCATTGTTTCAATCTGAACTTCCAATTCGGTTTTTTCTATTACAATCTTCTCATAATGACTTTTCCAGGCATTGGAAGCTGAAATTGCTTCAGACAACTTGGCTTCCTAAAAAATACATAAAGTACTCATCTTGTAATTTAGTAACACTTTGGTTTTGTACAGGGCCCTAAACACAGATATGTTATAAATGAGGAAAAATCCTATGAAGCATGAAACTATTGTTATAGGAAGTTTCAGTATACAACTCTGTATACAGAAAAGAATAATATCTTTATGTAACTATTTTATATGCATATGGTGGCAGTTCTAACTTAACATTTTAAGGATGTTGCTGAAACTATTTTCAAACATTGTTTCCTAACTAATGAAGATAACTCTCTATTTATTGTAGTTTTCATTTTGCATTTTATATACAGAAGACACCAGCAACCATATAAACATCAGAGGAGAAACTATTATACCTGTAATTCCATAATTCCACAGCATTTAATAAAGCAGCCTTATTTTATAATGATGCCAAGATGTTTTTGTAGAGGTCACCCCCACTGGCCTTCAAACATTGTTACTATCAGCAGAGATGAAAGGGGTAGTGGAGGCTTATTCACTTTGTGAGCTCCCAGAGCTAGAGATTTTTGTTTTATTCAGCCAACCTCTTGGTCCCTCCCCCAAGCCAGCAGGTTCTGATCACCTGATGGCAAACGGGGAACTGGGGGGAGGGTGATGGCAGGGGGCAGGGCCGGCTGCCAGCATCCAGGGAATATGGCCCTGATCACAGGCCAGGCCTAGGGACTGTACCTGTGCACTAATTTTATGCTCTGGGCCTCTAGTACTGCAGTAAAAGTTATGTGAATGTGGACTCTCTCAAAATATCTTATTGGACCATACTCACTCATCCTTCTTTTTTTTTTTTTTTTAATATATTTTATTGATTTTTTACAGAGAGGAAGAGAGAGGGCTAGAGAGCTAGAAACGTCGATAAGAGAGAAACATTGACCAGCTGCCTCTTGCACATCCGCCACTGGAGATGTGTCTGCAACCAATGTACATGCCCTTGATCGGAATAGAACCTGGGACCTTTCAGTCTGCATACCGACGCTCTACCACTGAGCCAAACTGGTTTCGGCTCTGAAAATATCTTATTGGACCATACTCATTCATCCTTCTTATAATGATGGGAGATAATAAAATGCCTTACTGAGTTGAGAATTTCACCTTTTCACTTAAAGGAAGCACTTTATGGTTTCTCTTTGGAGTATCAGAATTGCTAGCATCACTCCTCTTACACTTACACTTAGGGGCCATTACTATGTAAAATAAGGGTTACTTAAACACAAGCACTGAGATACCACAACAGTCAATCCAATAACCAGGGCTAAATAAGTGAATAAAAGGCAGGGAGCATTTACAGTGTGAATATGCTGGTTAAAAGGATGATTCATATCCCAGGTAAGACAAAGCTGGACAGCACAAGATTTCAAAACAACATGCAACTTAAAATTTAAGAATTGCTTATTTCTGGATTTTTTCATTTAATATTTATAGACCATAGTTGAGCAAGGGTAACAAACTGTGGAAAGTGAATCAACAGGTAAGAGGGGGATTACTAACGTAATGGTAACAGTTAACACTTATTGGGTGCTTACTCTTTTCCTTCTATCATTCATCCAAACACTGAATAAATACTTATTGAGCATCTATTGTGCACAAGACATTTTTTGTTTAATTCTTACAGTTACATTTTTTCTATATTGAAGATCAATATACTGTTTTCAAATTCTATGTAAATAAATTTTAATATGCACTGTGAAGTATAAGTTGGGTAATTATGTTATACTATAAATAAGGATACTTGGAAATTTTACTATAAAATAAATGCTATGGAAAACTTAAGACGTGATATGATTAATTGATTTAACTACTTCAAAAGGAGTAGTCAATGAAGGCTCCTCTGAAGAGATGTCAATTTAAAAGATACCTGAATAAAGCGGCAATGAGCACAGGGGTGCATATATCTTTGCTTATAAATGATTTAGAGTTTTTCTGGTATATACACAGGGGTGGGGTTGTTGGATCATACGTAACTCCGCTAGAGGACTGGATAAAGAAGATGTGGTAAAATACACAATAGAATATTACTCAGCCATAAGAAAGGATGAAATAGCATCATTGACACATGGATGGACCTTGAGAGCATTATGCTAAGTGAAATAAGTCAGACAGAAAAAGCGAAGAACCATATGACTTCACTCATATGTGGGACATAAAACTGAAACCTATGAACACAAACAGCAGTGTGATGGATTTTGGGGAGTGGGGCAGAGGGTCTTATATAAGGTGACAGGAGAAGATTTGATTTTGGGTGATTTTATAACTTAGAAATCCACACATGAAACCTATATGTTCATATTGACTAATATCACCCCAATAAAATTTATTAAAAACAATAAATTAATTTTTTTAAAAAGGATACCTGAATGATTAAAAAAAAAAAAAAAAAAAAAAAGAACCAGTTAATGTAAACCAGAAAGGAACATTATAGCCAAAGGCAACAGCAAACAAAACAGTGAAACAAACCAACTTCACACATTAGAGGGGTAGAAAGGAGGCTAAACATTGCAAATTATAGCATGGCCACACACTGTTTTGACATATATTTTCTCATTGTTTTCCTCCCTATAATCATATGATAGGCAGAATTATTATCCCCTATTTTATAGATGAGAAAAGTAAAGCCTGGAGAGATTAAGTACCTTACCCAAAGTCATGAGGTTAACAAGCAGAGGAGTCTTCCTATACTATTACCTGGGCCTGGGTGATATGACACTATTTAAATAGGAAATCACAAGAATGTTAATGACTTGATTGGTTTGGTTTTTACCACTTAAGACTATTTTCAAGCTTTCAACTAGGTCTACAATCATCTAGATTTTGAACCTACAATTCTTTTAACTAGTTAAATTCTTCTGAATGTAGGTAACTATTAGTCTTAAAATGTTAATACTTGAGTTTATAAAATATTGCTTTGTTTACATAAGTGTTTGTGCAAGTCTGTTTTCGTTTCGAAAAATCTCTAATAATTAAGTCTTAACATAAGGTTCTAAAAGGTGGGATACTAATGAGACATTAAAAAGTAAATATTTTATTAATTGGTATCCGAGTAAATATAATAATTTGTTAAAAACAACAAAGCACTAAGTCCATTTGCAACTCTGTACTACACACTAAGATAACTTTCACATGGTGCTGCTTACGTCAGAGAATGGTTTTAAATGCACTACAGAGTTTAAATGAATCACTGAATAAAGACATATGGTCAAATAACATAAATCAGCATTTCCCAAACTGGTGTTCCTCTGAAGCAGTTCCAAGAGTTGTTTTGTGGGTAAAAGAAGAGTTCTGTGGTTAAATAAGTGGTGGGAAATTCTGAGTTCAATACCCTCCATTCCACTGTTTCACTCTTACTGAGATCTCCTCAGGGCCTCTAATATGCTAATGAGCACTGTAAGTCTCCAAAGGGAAATGTGTGTGAAATGTTACCCTTAGTTGGCCATAGAAGCTCTGGGGCACAATTAACATAGCCTTTAAGTTCCCAAGGAAATGCTGATATAGTTCTATATGTAAATTTGACATTTTATATAATCTTTCAAAAAGAAAGACTACAGCAAAAAAAAACTATGAGTTTTTCTATTATCAGTAACCTTAAGAGAAGAATAAAATTATTATATTAAGCGTCATGACATTAACTGCATAAGCTAAGTACATAAAATAGTTCAGTAAGAAAGAATCTAGTATATACTAACCTGGTTTCTAATCTGGGAAGTAAGGCTTTCAATGTTTCCAGTAAAATGTTCAATCCTTTGTTTGTAAATTTTAGATGCCTGTTTTAGGGCCATAGCTTTTTTCCTACTTGATTCTTTCATTGCTGCTGTCTCATGCTTATTATTTTTCAATTGCAAGTTCCATTGGACTATCTTGGTCTCTAAGCTCTAAAAAAAATAACAGCAACAATTAAACTTTTAGAACTCCAATATTTAGGTAAACATTGCAATAGTATGTAAATAATCTACCACATGAGATTAATAAAGGATTCATCACATGATTAGTAAAAAACAAAACAGTGTAGATGATTTTACCAGTGTTTATCTCTAACCAGTTATAGAATGCAAATATAAAATACACAATCTACATAAAATAAATGCTACTCTCACTATGGATAACAACATTGCTGATTATAGTACAAACATTAACTTCCTTGAAACTGTTGTGATTTTAACTAGAACTTCACATCTAGTCTATTACACACAGGACCAGTTATCTTGAATTAAAAAAAAAAAAAATAGTTGAGCTAGAGACAACTCAAACAATAGGTTCACCAAAAATATGATCAAAATCAATAGATCATGAAGGGTATGCATGAGATAAACATACAGGTATTTACCAAACTTTAGTAGAATTGAGGGGCATGCCTTGACACTTAAAAGAGTTCATCAAAGACAATAAAAATACTGCTTTACCCAATGAGTAGTAGTGGAAGTTATTATCTCAAGACTGAATGAGATTAAATAAAGGAATAACTACTAGTTTTAAAGAGCAAGGCTAAAAAGATGTCTGAAGGCATGTTTCAGTCTATTGAGTTTGATGATGTTAAAGAGCATGACTGTTTTCTTGACATATCTCTTGATGACATAAGAAGAGAGGCTACGAGGCTGGGTTAATGATGAATATGACTTAGTGTGACTACTTTCACGTTTTTCTCCCCAAATTATTTTAAGAGTTTGTATGTAAAGGATTTGAGTACTAAGCATCTAATAATTTAAAGACCTAAGATTTTAATGCTTTTACATTTTCAGAAAGTTGTGCAGTACTTAAAAGAATGTAAAATTATTACAGAATTTAAGTTTTAGTCTCAATGAGACAATAATTTTAATTTCTTTAAAAGCAAAGAAGTCACAGTAGAAAATGGGCCTTTACTACTTAACTCTACGACCAATAACTAACTGCTTTATAACTTTTACTAAAATTGAGATCTTAAATAAGATTTAAAGACTTTATTTCTTTGAAGAGTGACTAGGCAGATGGGAGAAGCAAAATATTTTTAAGTTGTCTTTAAAAATCTATCTTAAACTAAAAACCCCAGGGAATGTTTTACTAAGTAGTTGGGGGGAAATAAGTAAGAGCAGTAGGGTGTCTACTTAAGAGAAACAAAGACGCCATAGGAAATACAGCTGTCATTCCTCTATGAGACCACAGGATGTCATCATCACACCATGAATAATTGCTATCCTGTTAATCTTTTACAACACTAAAGGTGAAGCAGATTTTCCTTTAATAAGGTTCCAGCCAAAACTTTCTCACTAGATTTATCAAATCCTACACTTAAGCACTATTATGGAGTATAATTAAACTATCAAATTATTTTTAGTTTCAGAAAAAACTAACCCCTCACAGTCATTTGCCAAATAAAGAGACACATTTAAAATCAACTATTTGCCTTTTCACAATTCCAAATAACTACTTACACTGCATATTATAAAGATAATTTTTCTGTCTCTTCTAAAATATGAAAACATTCTAACTCTAATTGTTATAATAAAGATCTAGAAAAAAATGAGTTCAAAGAATCTTTGAGGTAGTTCTCAGAGGATTATAATGCAATGTATAAATTTAAAAGACTCAATATAATGAATTGCATCAACAATAACTAAAAAAACCTGAGATTTATGTTGCCAGAGTTCATTTAGAGTTGTTATTCTAAAATAAGAACTTGTTAAACCTAAATCAAAGAACTGAATTCTGACATGCAATTACTTCTTAATGTCTCAAATTCCAAAAGTGTGTGTAAGATGGAATGTAGAAAAACCAGTAATCAAATGCAACTTCTTCTAGTCATTTATAAACCAGTTTAATTTTTAAAAAGTAAATTGAACTTCTAATATTAGACAGAGGGCTCTCAATTGCAAAATATTAGGAGTTTGGCCTTATATATTTTTCCCTCAAATTATCAGGAATATACAAAGTAACTGTTTCCTTTTAAAAATCGCTTAATAGTTCATTTCTGAATTGAAAATAATTTCAAAAACTTCCCCAACTGCTATTTGAGAACATAATTAAAAAATTGTGCAAGTAAGGTAAATTATGGTAGATGATTACTTGAAATATTAAATCACATGTAGTCCCTTCTATTGACCATCATGAGCAATGTAATAACAACCCTGAACTCATAGGTAGTGCCAGGACACTGATGCAGAGGACGCAGGGCATCTATAGGGAAAGAGCTTAAAAACACATGTTGGGGGATGGAGGACAAAGTTTTACATCCCCCATAACTGATAACGTCCCTTTGATGGGCAAAAGCTCATTGAAGGAAAAAAAGAAACACACCAAGTGTCCTCTTGAAACACGTGCCACAGATTGCAGATGTCTGCTAAGATTCAGGAGTGCAAAAGCAAACTAATTTAACCCAGAAGTCCTCACACTCAGTAGGGGTTGTCTTTGTACACTTTTCTTCTGAAAGTGAGAACACTACTTAGTTTCCTTTGGCAAAAATAATAGCAGCAAATCCAGATAGCTAGTGTCATATCATAGCCACCTCAACTTCTTATAGCAAGTGACTGTGAGGCTTCCTAAACAATATTTAAACCACCAGTTTAAACCAAAAAAAATGTCTCTTATTCATACTGCTAAAAACTATACAACAAGATTACTTGATTATCTAACCACCAAACCTAGGGTTGTTGATTTTATTTTTTAGATATATTTTATAGATTCTACAGAGAGTAAGGAAGAGGGATAGAAAGTTAGAAACATCGATGAAAGAGAATCATCTATCAGCTGCCTCCTGCACACTCCCTACCAGGGATGTGCCTGCAACCAAGATACATGCTCTTGGCCAGAATCGAACTTGGGAACCTTTAGTCCTCAGGCCAATGCTCTATCCACTGAACCAAACTGATTAGGACAGGGTAACTAATTTTAAAGTTATTACCATTTGTAAATGCAAAAATAATAAGCATAATGTGCCCCCCCCAAATAAAGACCAGAATACTATATTCCAAAATATAAACAATTGTTTCAGTTTTTGAGTTATTTTAATTTTTTTCTCTTTAACGTTACAAATGAATCACAACAAACATAAATTAACTATATAATGGGAAAGGATTTTTAAGTAATTCAAGCTCTATAACCCTTCCTAGAGTGGTACTAAAAAGACATAGCATTTTATTATGAAGGCAAATCTTTAGGCAGCCCAGAAATCATAAGATTCAGATTTGCCTCAAATATTACATTTCCCATAGCTACACTTAAGTTTAATTCTTTCAAAACCACCAAATTTCCATAATTAAGGAAAGGCTTTATAGTAGATCATTCATTTAATCACAAACTATAAAAATAAATGAATACTTATACCTTTATGTATTCTCTTAATTTATCATTTTCTGTTTCTTTTTTATGTATTTGGAGCTGTAGTCGTTCATGAACTACTTTAACTGATTGTGAAAAACGGCTGGCTTTCAAAGCATTTTCCTAAAACAGAGAGAAAAAATGTGTTATTTGATCTATTTCTCCACAATCTTTAACTTTACCTGTATTTAAGCATGAACTAAAAAACTGATAAAAAGCAAAGTAACACTTTACATAAACTATATTACACACACCATTACATATGTATTTTATGTACAGCTATTAGGGATGTTTTCTCTTCCTCCTTTTATTTAATTATCTATTTTAAAAATTTCCATATATGCTCCTAAGTAAAATTATGGGTATATCTAAAATGCTCTATAATACAAATTTATACAAAGTTCCTAACATACAGTAATTTAAGCCATATACCCCGACGAAACACCATAAAAATATAACAGAAAAAAAACATTTTTTAAATTAAGATAGGCTATTTGCTATGTAAAATATCCAAATAATCTAAAAAAAAAAAAAAAAATTTCGTGTCTGAGGATATGAGAGCCACGATGAAAAGAAGGGAAGGGAAGGGAAATATATTTATTTTTTTAAATATATTTTATTGATTTTGTACATAGAGGAAGGGAGGGAAATAGAGAGTTAGAAACATCGATGAGAAAGAGTCATCGATCAGCTGCCTCTTGCACACCTCCTACTGGGGATATGCCCACAACCAAGGTACATGTCTTGACCGGAATCGAACCCGGGACCTTTCAGTCCCCAAGCCGACACTCTATCCATTGAGCCAAACTGGTTTCGGCAGGAGTCCATTTAAAAAAAAAAAATAAATGAATTAAGCTCAAACTCTGCTTACCTTTTCATTCTGAAACAAATGTATAAGTTCTTGGATATAGGTCTCCTTTTCAAGTATCTTCTTCTTAAGATCCTTCAGCAAATATAATGTTAGAGTTAGGAATATCATAATTTAACATTAGCTAATTTTATAAAGCCAAGCAGCATATAAACAAAAATGTAAGTGTAAAAGACTTACAGTATTTTCACTTTCATTATCAGTTAGCTCCTCTAATATGCTGGATAAACTGTCACCTACCTGTGAAAAGAAGGCTATAATCAGTGTTCACAAATTACATTTCTCCATATAAGAAACAGAAAGTGGAATAAGCATCAACTAAGAAATTAATATGGACAACTACAATGCACAGTGCAGATTTTTAAAAATGTTAACATCAGAAGAATTTTTGCCTAAGTGTTCCAAATCATGTTTTATCCACAATTCAAGAAATTAATTCACTAAATTAATCTCTAAATAATGTCTCAGAAAGTACAAGCCAATGACATAAAAATCACACAAAAAAATATTATAGGCAGCAGAAGCTCATAGTGCTATTAATAAGTAGGTAAAAAGCATAAAAAATCTAATTTTACCAATAAGAATTATTTTTAATTATTGTGAATCATAACAGAATCCTATGTAGATATCTGAAATGAGAAGAAGAATGTTTACTCATTTGAGTATTATATTCCTGCTTGAGAATGTGAAAAAGCTATGTATTCCTTGCACCTACAAGCACATATGCTTTGTAACTGTAATGCAAACTGTATGCACAATTTCAGAGAGTTCATGGACTTTCATGAAACCCTCCCATATGCTCCATAAGGTCACACAGTAGAATTGCTTGGTACATGGTTTCATTTCTCTGGGTGTCCACAATTTACAAATGAATGTCACAACAGCTTTATCCCTGACAGCCAAAAAGTAGAAACAACCCAAATGGCCATCAGCTGAGGAATGGGTAAATAAAAATGGTATATCATAAGCACTGAAACATGCTCAACATGGATGAACTTGAAAACACTGTTAAATGAAAGAAGGCAGTTATGAAAAACCACATATTAAATGATTACATTTATATGAAATATCCAGAATCAACAAATTCATAGAAACAGAAAGTATATGATATGTTAAGGAGGGCTGGGAGGTGAACTTCTAAAGGGCACAAGTTTCTTTTTGTAGTGATAAGATGCTCTAAAATCGTGGTGATAGCCAAAGCCGGTTTGGCTCAGTGGATAGAGCGTCAGTCTGCGGACTGAAAGGTCCCAGGTTCGATTCCGGTCAGGGGCATGTACCTTGGTTGCGGGCACATCCCCAGGGGGAGGTGTGCAGGAGGCAGCTGGTCGATGTTTCTCTCTCATCGATGTTTCTGGCTCTCTATCCCTCTCCCTTCCTCTCTGTAAAAAATAAATAAAATATATTTTTAAAATAAAATAAAATTGTGGTGATAACTACACAATTCTGTGAATATACTAAAAGTTACTGAGTTGTATATTTTAAATGGGTGAATTGTATGGAATGTGACTGTTATCATAAAAAGAATACATGAAGGTATATATGTAATATACACAGAGCTTCAATTCTATGAGTACTTTATTATAATTGGCTGAAATGAATTATAACATTATAACAAAGTTTTTGAGATAATGAAGATATATTTCTACAAAAATATGCTGCTCTCACAAAGTATTTATGAAACATTAAAAGGGTTAGTTTAATGATTGTCATTTCAAACAAAAATTCAAATATTCCATCTCAAATATACCAACATTTTAATTTCTACAGTTTGAAAAATAATATAACCTTCAAGTGAGAAATATCACTTTTATATTAGTGATTAGCGTTCCTTACTTGTTGGTATTCAGTCTTTCTAAGAAGGTGTTCTAAAGCTTGTTTCACACACTTAAACGTATCTAATTCTTTTGTTAATATTTCCTCCTGTTTAAAAGTCTTCTTCATATTGGATGCAGAAAGATTAGCCCAACAAAATATAAGAACCACATACACACATAGTTAAGACATTGTATTAATACAATGTAAATATATTATTGTTATCAAAGAATATACTTTCTTAGTAATAAAATCATTCTTTTGTACACAGTAATAGTAAATACTGCCAAGTTTATTAAAAGTAATAAACTTTATTACACAGTACATTCAAGTAAAATGAAATAAAAATAAGAACTTAAACTATAAAGTATTTTTGGCATTTATTTTGATAAAATTAATATTATACAGTCTATTTTTTTGTCCCTAATTCAAACTTTAGTGAACTGAAATCTAGAAATTTCTATTCCACACACAAAACATTATAGAAAATAGATATATTTCATCTTTCAGAATATTTTGGTTTTAAATTCACTCATGAGAAAAGTTGACTCTCTAATTCAACTCCAGGTAAATCAAGCACCAAGGTAAACAGTTTCTAGCTTAGCTTCTTATTACATGAATGCCTGAGACTATCTTTGAGGAGAAGAATTGTGGAATAAAGGACACTGGTAAGCCTGCATTTTTTATGTCAAATACCAGTATATGAGCAAAGTAGTTTAAGATATGAGACCTCAGTTAGTGCAATTTGAATATTATGCTATCTTTTCATTTTATTAGATGTTCACAAGTCAAGTACTCACATTTTCAAAACCAATTTCTTCAATGGTGTCCTTACATGGTAAAAGTGATTCTATAGAATAAGTTGCCAACTCAGCTTCCTTAAATGTTGCTTCCAACTCAGTCTTTTCATTTAGGATGTCCTGCTTTAGACTAATTAGATATGCACAAACAAAATTTAAGTTAAATCTGCCACATAAATGAGGTATACTTTTATGCATATATAAGATAGCTTACCTAAATATTACAGTTCCATAAATTGCTCTGCAAAGTGTAACAGCAAATTATCACTGGAAATGTAATGAACTTTCCAATACTCCCATATTTTTTCTACATTTACTATAAAAAGAAAAACAGCTTTTTAAATTATCTACACTAATAAAATGATCTACACTACATGCTAACTGACTGAACCTTTGCGATACCCACCAGACAATTAGGAGTATGCAAATTAAACCAACAAAGATGGCGGGTTAATTTGCATACAGAGGCGAGGAGTGGCTGGGGGCAGGGAGGGGGCGCTTCTGTTGCCATGGCGACAATGCAGGCATTCCACACCACCCCAGCCACGCTGGGCCTCTGGGCAGCATGGGAAGGCAGAAAGGTGGCCTCCGGCCAGAGCGAAGGTGGTGCTGGCAGCCAGGGGAAGGAAGGCACATTCCTGCACAAATCTTTGTGCATTGGGGCTTTAGTAAGATATATAAAACATAAAGAGTACCAACAGCAGTGTTTTCACTGTACCATTTGATCATTAGTCAACACCCCTTTTCTGGTTTGTAAAACAATCTGTGGGAGTGTTTGTCTTTTTTTCTTCCCTTCCTTCTCCTTTATTTCAAACCCAAAATATTTCTTTTTCTTGATCTTATGCCCAAACCCTTTTTTGAAACTTATTACTCATCAAAAATAAATAAATAAATCCCAAGAATGAATAATGTAAACAAGTAGAAAATAAAAAACTAAAGTCTCCATATACCTAAAAATCCTTTACATTTGGCTTGATAATAATTATCATTCAGGACAAAACTGATAATATTTGCCTTCTTCATTATGTTTTACCTAAACACTACTGTGTATCATTCTAAATTTTTTTGTTGGGGGAGGTCACATTGTTATATTCTGAAATCAGGGTGCTTTTTACAATCTTTGTCACTTAGGAGGAAGTCTTCAGCTGTCTATCCTGTACGTGCCTCATTCTTATAGAATAAGTGTCTAATGCTTTGCCAAATATCCCAGAGATGGGTTGCATCAATTTTGTAGCCCCCAGGAAGGAAGGGTCATGGAAAAGGGCTGAGGGAGCTGGTGAACTAGGAATCTAGGAATGTTTAGCAACCTTCCAGAAGCAAGACTCCAATGTAGGTTTGCTGTATATGATAATTAAGAGTTCAGCAGCAAGAAATTTTATTTCAGTTAGAGATGCTCCTAAAAAAAAAAAAATGCTGTTATCACCAATAATCTTAATAGCAAGAGCAACTCTTGAGTCAAAAAGTGACCTAGAAGAGTTGGACTTAAATATAGAGAAATTTTGAGAATTTGTTTATTATACATCAATTTATTTTTATGTTAGCGCAGTTATTTGGAAGAAAAACCTATGTATAATTAAGGAGCTTTTTCAATATTTATAAATAAAATCCCAAGTCTTTCTTTAATTGGCAGCTTTTCTCTTTCTTTATGGAACACATAAAGACTCATCAGCATTTGATGGCATCTTAGAGACTGTGTCAAAAAGTAGACTGTATTCCTAAAGCACCACTGGCTTAAAGTGATGGGCCTAAGAACATGCTGGCTCTGAATGATAATTGTCCATTATTAAAAACCATGGGCAGAAAGTCAAGAATGATTCTATATGACTGAGCATTTTCATTTATAACAAGCTAAATTGGATGCTGGACCAAACTATCCATACTAACAATATTGGTATTTTAAGACTGTCATTTTGGGGAGCAATAAGTCATATAAATAATGAGTATATGCCTCATTCTAAAAAAGCAAAATATGGCAGGTATTTGTTGAATAACAATATAGCAAGTGACAGCATATTGGTGCAAATGAACTAAATTTCTAATATTTCAGAATTTATATCTTCACTTATTTTAGTTAAATCACATTATGCCTTATAAATTCTTAATAAGTAAGGTTTCATTTTTAATTTTATTCACCGAGATCCCAAAAAACTAGTCAAATTCTGCTAAATGAGTATATTGTAATAATTATTAAATATGCTAACTACTAGATTTAAAGAAGATATTCTAGAAAGAATGCTGTATTTGATTCAAATAATTTACAATATAGGCAAAACATGAAACCCTGAAATCAGAAAATTAGATATCTTCTATTGTTGAGAATACCAGCAGAGATGATTTTCACCGATGTGCTGTGGTAAATGTTCTTTCTCTGGTCTACTTTTAAAATAGGAAATCAGTTCTGAATGACTTCCATCATTTGCAGGCTTCTCCATAAATCTGGTCAAAGAATTTATAGGTGGCTTCCACAACAACTTCTCCACAAAAGCTGAAAGTTAGGAAATAATTTCGTTATTAAAATTATCATATCATTAGATTCTTTTTATGTCATTACCCTAAAATAAAAATCTAAAGATGTATAAAAAAAATTTCACAGACAAAACTCAACAAATAGGGATTTTAACTGCTACTAATTGTGAATACTAATTCAAAATAGTATCAAGATTGCACAGCACAAAAATAAAATAAAATAAAGTAAAAAAAGATTGCACAGCACAACCATTCAACAACTGTCAATATCCATAAAGTTTCCAAAAAGTCCACTATTTGCTATATGACCACATAATGTAGAAACTTTTAATTAATTGACTTCTTAAAGTATTATAATATTTTAATCCAGTTGGACTATAAAACATATATAAAAAACATGGGTTACAGACTACACAATTTACCACACATTAATGAAACTCTAAAAAAAAAAAATCTTTAGAGCATATTTATATTTATAAAAAATATATTTATAAAAAAAAACCACCATGGATTACTGATAATGATGTATCATTAGATCCATCCAATAAGAAATATTACTTATGCCTAGAATAGTAAAATTAACATACTTTTGAAAGTATTTGACAATAATAGTTACAAAAAAAAAGGTAAGTCATTCCTTTCAAAATTAAATTCATTTACTCCTATTTCCAAGCTCAATCTAGGATAGTGTTTGGTGATAATAGAGAGTTGTCATTGCTTCTAAATTTTACTAATCTAATTGTTTCACCCAAACATGGAGATGTCATTTTTTAAATGTATTTATTAATTCCTTTAAAATTATTCCAGTTTAAGTTATGTGTTAGTATTTCAGCAATTATTGAGGCTATGTTTTCACAACTATAATATATAATAATATATATACATATACATATACATATACATATGCATATACATACATATACACACTTTGTGAGAAGATTCTATATATACCAGAGAGGCAAATATTTAGGATATAGACCAATGAAAAACATGATCATATTCTTGGAAATACGAGAAACACATGCCCAAAGTGAACTGCTGAATAAACCTACATATAGTCTAAGATTATCCACTTGAATGCTGCAAACATGTAACATCATTAAGGGAGTAACAATAATTGAGCTATCTATAGTTTAGAAGAATTAAAAATATACACATATACAAAATTAAATAAACCAATTTAAGAATGAAGAAGAGTATGCTCTGGATAAACCACTGCAATCAAGAGAATTTTATCATCTACTGCTTTGTGCAGATGCAATAGTTACTCAACTCAGAAAGAAACTATACATTTCAATCATTAATATTTGCTTTTCTTTTCACTAGTATATCAAGAAAGAATGTCTTATTTATATTTGAATCCTCACCAATAAATCTTGTATAATTTAATCAATAATTGAAGGAGAGGACTCAAGGCTTAAAGCAATTAATGAGTAGGATGAATAAAAACTTTTACTTATTCACGCTTTGATTCATCTCTTGGGGGACATTAAAAAAATGGATCCTATATTTGGAATAAAAATTTTTAAATCAATGTGAGGGGTTAAGGATCTTCAATTTGTAGGAAATAGTTTATGAGGTAAGATTCAGTTTGGTATCAGTACTAGTTGTACCAGTTAATAATGGTGGATTTTGTAATCAAAGAAAACATGATAACTTCAAGAGAAACATCAAAAGTGCTTTATTCAAAGTAATGTCCACTGCTAGCTACACAATTCCCCCATCTTTCAGGTAATTTGTGAATACCGTCCCAATAGAACTTTTCTTATTTTGAGACAAACCATTCAGAGACCCAATTTTCCACTTCTTCGTATGTTTTGAAGTGCTGCTCAGAAAGTGTGTGTGCCATCGATTAGAACAAGTGGTAAACTGAAGGAGCAAAGTCTGGTGATTAATATTTCCCAGACAAGATCTTCTAACGTGTCTTTTACTGGTTTTGAGATGTGTAATGGAACATCATCATAAAGCAAATTTACTTTGCCATGTCTTCTGGAACATTCTGGCCATTTCACAATCAAAGTATGGTTCAAATTGATTATTTATTGTCAGTAGCAATCAGTACTAATAGTTTCACCTGGTTTTAAAAGCTCATAATACACCACACCTTCCTGATCCAACCAAATGCAGAGCACTGTCATCTTGCTGAAGCGATTTAGCCTTGCCGTCAATGTTGATGGTTCAACCCATGATTTTGGGTTGGATCAACTGATGATTTTGTGCATTTGGGATTCTCAAAATAAATCCACTTTTCATTGCCAGTCACAATTCGATGCAAAAAAGACTTTCTTTTGTGCCACTGAAGCAACATTTCACTGATAACTTCAGTTTTCCATTTGTCTTTCATTTAGTTGATGTGGCACCCATTTTCCTACCTTTAAAATCTTTCCCAATTGCTTGTAAATGATCAGAAATTGTTTACTGAGCAAAGTTTTATCTTTTTGCAAATTGTTTTTGAGTTTGACACACATCTTCATTCAATAATGCTTGTTATTGTTGGTCTTCAAACTTTTTCGGTTGGCCTGGACATTTGTCTTTCACATCGAAATCATCATTTTTAAAGCGTTTAAACCAGTGTTCACAAGTATCTTGAGATGGAGCATGTTCATCACAAGCTTCCCGAAATATATGACAACTTTCAGGAGCATTTTTCTTCAAAATAAAGTAATTAATTAAAATTTCCCGCAATTGCTCTTTTTTTGGGGGTACAAAATTCATTTTTAAGTGTAAAAATACCTGTGTTAACACCTTCAGCAAATTTGACATATGAAGTTTTGAAGCTCGCTGTCAATTCACAAAATAGCATACATATCAAATTGCATATGTATCAACATATGTGTAACTCCATCTTATGAAAAAAAAAATCCGTATTATTAACTGAAAATCCTAGTATTTTTAATGAGTTCTTACATGGTTTTGTTGGCTACTGACAGCTACTTACATAATTTTTCTAAAAGTTTTATCACAAGATAAAATCATACAACATTTTTCTGCTTTATCGCCTATAAAAGTAATTGTGTCATTTTAAAAGGTAAACAATTAAAACATTAATTTTATAAGGATTTTAGGGTGACTTTTAGCCCAACATTAAATTGGTTATCTTCATTACTGATTCCTCAAAACATGAAAAATATAAGTCAAATCTCAGATATTTCCACTGAAATCATCAACAATCACAGTCTTACAATCTAGAAGTATTTTCCAGGATAAAAATTGTTCAGAGGTTCCAAGGCACTCCACTATTTTTGTGTTGTGACAATACTATAACCAAAAACATGTGTGCTGAACAACAATGTAGTAATTTTCTTTAGCATAAAAAGTTCTATCTTCATTACAAATGCTATCATCATAGTGGCCCAAATATATTCTTGTTTGGAAAAGCAGATGTTTCAAAAGAAAATGTAGAATATACTGCCAATTTTGTAGAATATACTGCCAATTGACAAATGTTAAAGAATACTTTTAAACAACTTGTGGTGAAACAAAGACACATATTCTGCACATATACTTAATGATCAAATCCCTAAAGATTAGTAATTTTAAAATATTTTTCATGTTTAAAGAATTAAATTTCCTATACAGAAATGACTTTACCAGTCCTCTACCAAAAAGGCATGTTCTTAAAGCTTTTTCCAGGAGTGGTCATGGGTTTATGCTGATCCAGCTAGACTCACTAAACTATGTTCCATTTTGGCCAGTAACAAACATTTGAGGGATGGCTGTTCAGGGACTGTGATGCTGGCCATGGTCAGAAAAAAAGCGAAATTACAGTCCATGAGACCTTCCCTAGCACTTAGATTGTTCTAACTAAACTAACCATCTGCAGACAAATATGCGTTTAAAACTAATCTCTCTGGTGAAAAAAAAAAAAAGCATATTAATCTTGCAGGTTGTTTTTGTTTTTTTGTTTTTTGTTTTTTTGTTCAAACATTAATTCTTGGAAATGTAGCTCCCATTGGCTTCAAACAAAGGCACACAAAGCTTCTACAGAAAATTTACTATGAAATATTCAACAAGGAACACAAAATAGATACAGGAAAGCTGCTCCTTTCTCTCACTATTCTAGACACTAATCAAAAGTTTACTAGAGAAGTAATTGTAGGTCTTTTTAGGCTCTATAATGAAAAAAAAAAGTGTATAAGAAATTTGAAAATAGGCAAAGAGTAAAAAATAACCCAAAGTAGAAAATTGATCTTAAGAGTAAAGGCTACTGTAAGTAGAAAAAGATTAAAAAAAAAAAAACACATTTTCTGATACAGATAATTTAACTTAGATACATTCATGCACCACTTAATGACGGGGATACATTCTGAGAAATGCTCTAGGTAATTTTATTATTGTGTGAACATCATAGAGTGCACTTACACAAACCTAGATGGTATAGCCTACATCACATCTAGACTATATGGTATGGCCCATTGCTCTTAGGCTACAAACCTGTACAGCATGTTACTGTACAAAACAACATGAGATTATACCAGTCACAAGAGAACTGATATAATCAAGAAACATGGTAAATAGATGTATGAGGCTGCTGCTGGCATAACATGGCATACTCCTTTACAGCAAACTTTTTTATTAGTAGAAAGAGTACACTCTGAAATAACAATAGAAGTTGTAGTGCAGTGAATATATAAACCAGTAACATAGTCATTTATTATCACATATTATGTACTGGGCAACACTGTTATGTAAATGACAGCACAGCAGGCTCGTTTCACGGCATCATCACAAACACGTAACGTGTTGTGCTCCAACATTAGGATGGCTATACCATCACTAGATGACAGGAAATTTTCAACTCCATTATAATCTTATGGGACCTACATTGTATCTGGGTCCAATGTTGACTGAAATTTCATTATGCCAAACATGACTATAATTACCTAACTCCTATGTCCAATAAAAAAGGAATCCATATCTATATCTATATCTAGCCAGCGACCAGAACCACTCATCACTATGATGC